AAATAAAAAGTTTTTAAAGTTATACTCAAACAAATCACACACATTTGCATGCTACACCGCAGATAGCAAACCCTTTTCTTGTTGAGTAGATTCTTTCTCAGAGAAATAGATGAAGCATAGTCACTGGATTCCAAGTCCTATAATTATCCAATAACATAATGATATTGACACAATTATAGCAAGCAAAAAAAGTGTGTATTTTTAAAGTACTTCCCCATTCCGTTTTTCTCCAGCTCCCAGCTCACCAGAATATATATAAATAAAACAAAATAAACAAATTTCTAGCAAAAAAAGTTAACTTGACAATTTCTAAATTGATAGGCCAATGTAAATTACAAATAATAAACTGTACAGAAAGACTAGCAGTAATTTAAGAAAATGGTTACTCAAAATATCTTAGTAAAAAATGACATAAAACCATCAATTTTATGATTCATAATTGAAAACTCTTTTTAAGCTTGAAAATAAAGTATAGATTTCTGATCTTAATTTAAATTGTAAAAATGAGCCCCATAAAAACACTCAACATCATTTTAGAAAACGTACTTAAATTTTTTATTTAAATGAACATTTGAAAAATTACTAAATTTACTGTTAGCAAGATTATTCATTAATACAGTCCAATAACTTTTACATTTTGGTGAAATTGAAAATATAAATGCTTTCACACCTAGAGCCTTCTATAGATATATATTTTTTAACTCTACACTAAAAATTAATTCCTTATGAAATAATTATTGGGGTCTATTTTGTTTATAGACTGATCAACTACATACTTCTGAATTCAAAATATTTATGCTCATCTTTTTACCTTAAAGCACAATCCTAAATATTTTAAAGGAATCGAATGAAACTGTTGTTCATCTTAATATATCAGAGTAATGAAAAGAAATGTTTCTCTTGTCACTTGTATGTCAACATGGTTTGAACAGCAGGGGTCAGAGTGAGGGTTATACGTAGACCCTTCTGGTTACAACATGCTCCGCAGACAACGCAAAAACCTTTGTTATGATACAACATAGAATTCTGTAATCACTTAAAATATCAGTTTAACTTCAACAATGTGAAAAATCCTTTTAATATACTGATGTATAAAATTTTATGTCAATAAATCTCTAGGCTAATTGGTCCAATTGCATAATATAAATCAATTGTTCATGTTTCAGATTACATGCCATAATTGTTCACTATCTTAAGTTTGTTTGTTAATAGATAATTAAAGAAAATGATATAATTTACAACCTAATTACTATTTATTTTTCTTTCAAAGTCTGAATATTAAATTTTATTGTTACATATAGACACAAACGGGTGACCTCATGTTAATCATATATCATATTTCCCATATCCTTAAATAGTTTCAAGAATATTATCTTTGGATGGTATCTATGGATGACTACAATTTGTTTAAGCTGCTACCAAATATCATGGGTTCCAGCTATTTTTTGTTAATGTTTCAGTAGACATTCTGGTTCCTATCTCTACTAATTGCCTTTTAATACATTTTTGGAAGCAGAAGAACTTAATCAAAGTGTATAAATATTTCTGAGGTCTTTGATATATAATATCAAATTGCCTTCCAAAGAAAGCATGCCAATTTCCAATTTTCTTCAGCAATGTATGGAAGATTCTGATATAATATATACTTACCAATACTAACTATATAATTTTCTTAATTTAGCTATTTTTTCATAGCTTTTATTCACATCTACCTTATTACTAAAGTGTCCAACATTTTAATATCTTAATTGGATTTTTATAAGTCTTTTGCTAATAGGTTCTTCATGTCCACTTTTCTATAGGTTTATTTCTGAAACAGTTCAGGATGTAGCGAACATATGATCTAAGAACGGACATTCTACAGAGGAAAAATTATCTCTAAAGAATGCCACAGAGTATAAATTGCAGGTTAAACCCTGTATGTGGCATAGGAAGTTACCTACCAAGCATAAAAAAGACAAGAAGCATGACATAAACATATGGAATTAGTTGCTCTCCATTCTCCCCAGTTCATCCCCTGCACACCTTCCCTCACCCACTGAGGTTTCTTGTCATTAGCTGTTGTGAAAAGAGAACAGTGAGTTGTGAATCAAGATCCTCTGACAAATACTTGTACAAAAAAGCACTGCAACAGAGGGTAGCATATCAGTTGCCACAAAGATAAGGATGCTTTATGCAGGCAAAGACCTTTGAACAGCTAAACACAGAAGCCTCTTCATACGCACTCTCCAGTGATCTACTTTATCATTCAAACACATTTTTTTTCCCATTCATCAGAGCATCTTTTCATTTTATTTGCTGTTCAAAACACTAGGACACAAAGGATGTGCTTCATCTTCTGTGCCACTGAAATAAAATCTTGAGGAAAAAAAAAAAAAAAAAAAAAAACAGCCTTGCCCTAAATTTCCTTTCAAAAGTGAAGTGTGAAAAGACATCAAGCAGAGGACACAGTGTTATTGTTGCAAGAAAGTCAATTCTGCAAGTAGAGTCCAAAGGCATCAGCAGCGGCTCAATCTCTTCCTCACCCACAATGAATAATAATAATAATAATAATAATAATAATGATGATGAAAACAAGGAGAAAGGGTTCCACTTGTGGAAATGGAATTTCTTATTGTGCTTCCTCCTGATTATCATGAACATCTATGAGCACAGCTGTTTCCTTTCTCTGACTAATCCTAAAGTCAATGCCATAATATTGACCCCCTTCTATTACATCCTTAGAGCCTATTATATATCACTTTGGGTTCTATTCTGAGCAGAAGAAATTGAAAATGTATCTTTTCATTGAGCAGCAACTGGAAAACCTAACTAATTAATTTAACTTGGTACTGATAAGTTTAGAAATGATTTTTAAATTTTTATAACCTTTAAAAATTGTACAAAAATTTTTGTACAATTATATATATATAATATAAATTACGGACTTTTTATAATGTCAGAATATATTTTTTCAAACAGACTGAAGAAGTAGGGCATCTAAAAGTTCTTCCTGACATAATTTTGTTTGCTACAGAATATGCATTTATGTACCAGGGTCATTATATAAGTTGCTTTAAACTTTATAATTTTAGGGTAAAATGTATCATTATTTGAATGGGGTTTTTAAAAGCCATCAAAGTAAATACCCATGAGAACCTTCACCTATAGTGCTATTTCTAGCAGAGAGGATTTAATATTAGATGGATTCTTTTCGGTGTCCACAGGAAAATTTTATTAGTTCGAATAACAAAAGAAGTCATGGACAATGAGAAAATAAGACAAGACCATATTTACATTCATAGATTTTATTAACCAATTTCACCTGTAGTAATCACTGAGAAAATACTTCTTTAATGAAAAATTGTACAATGAATAGACTAGCAAATTAACGATAGTTCTCCATGTGATTGTTCTTTGGCAATTCAGAGGCACTGTAGAATTTTAAATCGTGATGTTAATTGTCCACACGTGCAGAGTGTACTACTTGTTACTAAGATTTGATTTTATGGCTATATATTTTTACAAGATCTTAACATTTACCAGATCTTGTAAGTGATTTTATTTAATTGTGCAAATAATTCTTCTATACCCCCTTCCTATAATCCTCCACTCACATGGTTTCCTACAAACCTGAAAGTTAAAATTGATCTGTAAATTAACCACAGGACTGAAAAACAGGTATTATCTATGTACACACACATCTTCCACCAAATTTTTTTACTTTGATATGAGGAAATGGTAATAATAATCAAAAGCTGATTTATTTACTGAGCATTTCATGAGCACACTATTGTATACAGCAGACTACTGTGAGATTATTCTGTTTCCTTTTTTTAAATTCAGGTCTAGAATATTCCCCCAGGCTAAATTTATGCTGTTCCCATCTTTGCAAAGAGAATTTTCAGAAACTTGATGGTATTTCTTTGCCATATCACACCAACTCCTCTGAGAACAAATACAGATTTCCTAAAGCAGATAAAATGAGTAAGATTTCAGCTGTTTCCATAAATTTCCTAGGTTACGCATGGGAATGGGGCCTAGGGGCAATAGGCATTTTGGCTGTTTGGAAGGTAATTTGTATACTTGTTCTCTCTGAAGGATGCTCAGCTTACTTTGATATTAATATTCTGTATTGTATGACCTATTAAGTCGACTTTTTAAAGGCTTCAGGCAAAAAGAAAGCAAAGGTTTTTTCTCTAGATGTCTCCTTTCTCAACTTGGTTGCATTTTGCAAAAATGAGCCTTTAGTTCTATTATTTTACATATTCGAGTTATACTGTGGTGGAGCCTACAAGGAAAGTTTCAACATTTTATCCTAGTATATGGAGTGGTATTGAAACACTGAATGCTCCAATATATGTTTTCTTCCAAAGAAATAAGCTCATTCTACGATTTGGAAGTGACTTTGCCAAAATCCAATCAGAACACAACTACAGAAATCTAGACAGTTATCTCAGTAGGTGTAGGCACTAAGGTATCTGTCTTTTAATTCAACATCTTTGATGATATCAATCTCTTGTTTTCTTGCCTGATTTTTAACTCACTAAAAAATAAATAAATGAACTAATAATCTGTAGTTTCAATAAAGGTAGAGCTTATGGGCAATAGTGTTTCCATACTGCTGTAGAGGTGAACAGACAAGAGTGCTCTCTATGGCTAGAACATGCACAGCTACCCTTTAATCCAGATCAAAGTCTGGGGGTAAAATTTGGCCCTGTGTTTTCCAAATACTCACAGTTTTACACTAATGGCCCTTATATTTAGCTTGGAAAGAATTGTGCTACTTCTGTTTCTATTCTTGTATCCATGAGGTAACCAATAGTAAGAGGGCATATTCATTTTTCTATTTTCAAAGTATCAAGTTAGCAGCAAACCTGCAAGTTTTCAACAAACTCAGACTTTTTAAGCTGATAATCTGCAAAATGACATCATACAGAAAACTTTTTGATGGCTATACTGACAAAGACAAAAGATAACTCAAGTATCTTATCAACTAAAATTCTGAAGGAAATACATACCCAAACCTTCCGATTCAAATAGACATGTTTCATCCACCCCTAAATCTCGGCACCAGGATAAGAAATTTGCTGTATTGTCTCGGGCAAAAAAGGAGCCCGAGGGTGCATTGGCTTTGCATGGGATCTTCTTCAATGGTAGATTCTGAAAAATAAAGAAATTCATTCTAGGAGAAATCTGTCAAAGTTAGCACAATGATGTTTTAAAAACATGTTTTCAACAAAATGCTTTGGAATGACCTCATGCCAATAAATAGGCTTGTGAAGAACCCTAGAAAGGAAATATAATGCTGTGCAATTAACCTGGCAGTAAGGGACTGAAAATGTGTTCCTGCAAGCACATATCCTTTTCTTTTTCGTACCTAGGAGGAAAGATAGTTAAGTACTTTTCTTGACTCGGGCTGCCGCTTCTCTTTCTCTTCTATAATTTTTATGGCCTTCCCTTTCATCTAAGCATTCTATCAGTATTTTTCACAAAGTACTTATGAATGTATTTCTCATTGGTGAAAGAGGAATGGGAGAAACACAAATATATTATATGAATATGATATACATATAACATATATACACCTGCATTCTTACAGGTATAAACACATACTGTAAAAATTACACAAGAATTATAAAGTCAAAAGAGAGCAGCGGAATTATTTAACATCACAAGTCTCAATCATCAATACCAAGAAAGGGAAATGCTAAAAATAATGTAATGATAACATTTGCTGTGTGTGGTGGCTCATGCCTGTAATCCCAGCACTTTGGGAGGCCGAGGGAGGAAGATTGGAGTCCAGGAGTTTGCAACTAACCTGGGCAACATAGTATATCCTATCTCTACAAATAAAAGTTAGCCAGATATTGTGTGCACCTGTAGTCCTAGCTGCTCAGGGAGCTGAGGCAGGAGAATTGCCTGAGCCCAGGAAGTTGAGGCTGCAGTGAACCTTGATCATGCCACCGCACTCCAACTTAGGTGACAGAGTGAGATGTTCTATCAAAAATCTAACATTCTACAGACTTTTTTCCAGACTATTTTCTTTTAAACCACAGGATATAGCAATAGCATATAATACAAACATAATTCTGGTCTGAACTCTGCTATCCGACCTTGAAATACATTGTTTACTTTCTGCATCATTTCTATTCTGGGATAAGAAAGTGCTTAAGATAAGGGTGGGGGTGAAACTGGATAGAGTTTTCTGTTAACCATCTTGTAAAATTTTAAGCAGGAAGTCTCCCTTGGAACCATACCAAGTGTTATCTTTTTTCTTTAATAGAACATAACTTATTTCCATGACATTCCATGAAACTAAAGAATGTAATTCTTTATGATGTGAAAGAATGAGTCATGCCTTTGGGTGAGCTGGGCTACATAGGACTTTGCCTCAACAAGCAAAAAAATCAAAGAAGAAGCACTCTGTGATTTAAATTTATAAAATCTTTCTTATATTCACAGTGAACCCTTAAATACAACCAAAATATTGTTGATTGTTGAACTCATTTACAAGAATGGTTATAAAAAAATAAAATAGTGGCTAAGGTGGATTGGTGAAGTCCTGCCAACATGCAACTCTTACCAGAGTTCTTACTAGAGTTCCAGGGATTTTTTGATTATATATAACAACTTAAAACATTCAGTTACTACATCACTCAAGATGCATGTCTGTCTAATCTCAAAGATCCATCTCTTTGTTGCAACTTGAATTTGATTTAGGATAGATGCAATCAAAGTTTCTGCATAAATACACAGATATATACTTCAAGCACTATAGCTATATAAACCATATATAGGGTTACCTATATAACAATATTTCCTTAAATGATTTTGCCCAGATATCAAGTAATGGCTTTCAAAAGAATGCTTTCCTAGATGAGTTATAAAAACAATCAGAAATAGTGTAGTATAATGTCTCCCTTGTAACGTATTCATAAGCATTAATTAGCATGTATTGAAATTAAAATATAAATTCCTTAAGTCTAGCAATTCACTTCTAAGAATATATTCTACACATAAAATAGCATTCATGATTAAAATATATGTACAAGTATATTTGTTGCAACACTGATTGAATAGGAAAAAAACAAAAACACATCAAGAGAGCTAGTGGAATGGCATATAATATATAAATACAATGAAACTCTATATAATCATAAAAGTACAACATATGTACATGTATTGAACCAGAAATATGTTCAGAATATACTCTTAAGCAGAAACAAATTTGCAAACAGATATTTGTTCCATAATGTATCATTTTATGATGTATATACATGTGTACACATTAGTGTGTGTGTATATACATGCAATATAATTGGCCATATATAAAGTTAAATTGCATGTAAATATATTGTGATACATATATAAATATTTACATAGTTATAGAATGTAGATTTAGAAATAATTCAAGAAGGACCTGCCTAATTGATAGTAACTGCCTTTGAGGAAAGGAATTGATTGATGTATCAAGGAACATTTACTTATTTTCTATAATTCCAAAACAAGTAATAGGATTTTTAGTGTCTTTTATGTTTTATCAATACTACCAAATTAAAAAAAATCAAAGTAGTAGGCAAGTTATGTCAGCCAAAACATATTTTTTTAAAATCTGCTGAATAAAATCTCCAAGAGATGATGGTAAAGCTTTTTAAAGACACGAATAAGGCAAAAACTATGTTTAGGAAAAGAACATAATTAAATCCAAACAATGAGTCACTTTAAGATCTACCACCTGTATCCCTGGTGGGCAGGAAAAACTACATGTGAAACCACTTCAAACCAATATGAGTTTGCAGGTAAAAATTGTAATCTAGGAAGTATAAAATAAGTCACATAGCTACAGACTTGCTAAATGACATGAGGTACATGATCTATGTGGCAAAAAGGAACAAAATATCCATTTTGCACTGAAGAAGCAAGAGATTGATTTGACACTTAATCCACCAAGGGGTACATTTTGAAAGAACAGGCACAAGTGACAAGCCCTCAAATATCATTCAGCCCACTCTTGAAGAATTTACAAGGACAACCACTAAGCGTGTAAATGAAAATAGCATTTATTTTCCCTTTACAAAGTCATGTACCTATCATATGCCAGAATCTCACTATTTACTTAAAATTCAATGCAATCGTACTGGAAGATGGGAAAGTCATTTTAAGACAAATAAAATGATGCTGGCTATTGATACTGAAAAACTTGGGAATTCCCAGTGAAGAAGAATTTAGCAGTAACCCTGATCTAACTACTTGGCATTTAGGTAATTTATGGGGTGTCTGCTTCTGAGGAAGAGCTGTTAAATTGAGTGTTCCCATGCCAGCTGAAGACTGGAAAGTAGTAAACAGTGTGAATAGAAGCTTCCAATTTTCATCCATATAAAACATTTTGTTTGAGGATTTTTTAAAGTCACACTCATTAGTCCTATCAAGTCCATCACATATAACTAGAAATAAGGATCTCTGCTCATCGGGAATTTAAAAGAGAACCTTCAATAGTTCACCTGATATGTTTTCCATATTAGTTTTATTGAGCATATTGAGCAGTATTAACCACTCAATTCTTCAAATAACTACAACATTTAAATTATATATTATCTTCGTTTACTCAGGAAAGTTTTTTTAGACAATATTATGTTCTCAAAAACGAATTGATGAATGAATGAATGAATGCTAGACTGCCTCCTCAAACTAGATCATAATCGACTTGAGAACAGGACCAAATACGCTGTATTAGAAGTTTTACATCCCCAAGGGACATGTTCCCAGGCCTTCAAAATTCACTAAGTTAATGGGATAACCATGCATAAAATGCCTTCCAGAAATTCAGAAAAGTGTAACTGAAAAATTTAATACCTTCAAACCTTTTCTGAAAGTTACTGAATATGAATAATGAATAGAAAACAGTCAAGCTGAACCTAAGTTGGACAGAAATTTAGTCTCACTCACTCACTAGCAAGAGTCATGCTATATTGTACAATAGTGTCCAAAGTGTAGGATTCAATATTTTGTGTTAGCAAAATGAGAAGTTACTACCAATAAGCTATTGGGATTGTGTGCAAGCAGTCAACAGGATGAACAGTAAAATTTCTAACATCAAGACTCTACTGATTTTATCTCTCAACAAGATTAATCCAACATACATACTTATAGCTTCTAAAATACTGATAGATTGGTTGATTGACCTATAAGAGAACAGTTATGCATTCCAAAAGGGCCCTTCCCATTCCCGTCAGGAAACAACCAAGATGGGTGACAATAAATAGAAAAAAATTAAATTTTCTTCTAAAGGTTGTTATTACTAATTCAATCCACTGCTTTTCAGATTAGTTGCCAGGTAGGGCTCTGGAGTCCAATTACCTGAATTCAAATTCAGCTATATTTCCCTTCATGCTGTGATTGGTAAATGTACTTAAAATCTATATTTCAGTCTCCTCTGCTATACGATGTTCATAAAACAAGATGTACACCCCACTGACTATGTGCATTGGGGTGCAAATTAATTAAAGTGTATTAGTAAGTATTCAGAAAAGGTCATCAATGCAAGTAAAAACATACTGAATATCTGTGATTTCCTTCTCTCATATTTTCTTGCCAACATTGCATGATTTCCATTATGGGTATAAGAATTCAGAAATAGACTGCCAAATAATTTACTTCTTCTTATCTTTACCCTAAATTTGAACCTTAGCTTCTGAATAGTTTTCTAATATAACTTTCTACATTGATAAAAATGTCCTATATCTGTGCTAACCAATATGGTAGTCATTAGCCACATGTGGCTATTGAATATTTGAACTTTTAAGCATTTATTTCATTTATCAACCTAAATTTAAATACCCACATGTGGCTAGTGGCTATCATATTAGACATCACATTCATGGGGGGACAGTGAAGCTACAATTTGGAGTTTTATAAAGTGTGATGTTTGACTGCCTGACTAGCTTCCCTCCTAAATCATCTCCATGTCTCTCAACTCCCATCAAATCCAGTAGTTACCCTGGGTGTAGTTACTAAGACATACAAACATGAAAATCATTTTCAAATATTGTACATATATGCTGCAGTATGTCCTAGTTATGGTGTCATGAAGCGCATTCATAACTAATTCTATTTATAATGTTGTAATAATCTGCATCTGGAGAACCAGGATCTTATTTAGC